CTAGCTGTCTGTGGCGTGTCTGTGAGTGTGATTGTGGCCTGCCCAGATGCTTTCCTCTCTGGAGGCGCTTTTGGGAAGGCAGCACCACCTGACCACCTCCACTTGACGCTACACCTTTGTGACTGGTGTCAACCACCTTCATGGACATTTGACCCCTTTGGAACCACATCAAGAAAGAGATCAAGAGCTTGGAATGGGAGGCTGCATCACTGAGTCCACCTTTCTACCTTGTTGTGGGGGTGCTGGTGAAGTGGTGACTGAGTGACTGCCCAGCCTTCTCCCTCCTCCCTTGCACAATAGGCTCCATGCCTCCCACTGTTGGTCAGATCTTGGGTGGAGAATTACTGTTTGTTGCTTTCTTTACAACCCTCCGTTGATTCTCTTACTAATCACCTCAGGGCCACACCTTCAAATTCTAGAAAAGGGTTGCAGCAATGGCAGCAGCACAGCACATCCTGGGAAACCTCAACAGGTAGAGCAGTAGAAGATGGAAGCGCCACAGTTGCATAGAGGCAGCTTGGCAGGGATAAGAAGTGAGTGCTTGGTGGTCCTGCCAAAATGAATGTGTGCCAAATTGCACCCTAAAACACCACAGCTACACTGCCATGCACAGGGGCTGAATTTGTGAGAGCATTGTGCCTGCAAAAGGATTTGGAAGCAACAAAAATAAGGCATAGGATGGAAAAAAAAAGCTTGGGTCCACTGCTTGAGCTACACAAAGCCCATTATTTTCACTCTGATGAGTGAAATCAAGGACATTCCAAAATGATTCACGAGCATGTAACCTGGCTACAGCTGACAATGACTGTGCCTTGGCAGGCTGGGATGACAGACTGAAAGATGAGCTCCTAATAAAATCAAGCTCAGAAGCAAATGTAGAGAAAGCTCTAACGGCTGATAATTTAACACACAAAACCAAGATACAAACAGCACACAGGAGTGCTCTGGTGTGCAGTTATGGCCTATGTGGTCATGTAATAAAACAGGTATCTCTAATAAAGCAAATATGAACAACAGTCTCATGAGCCCACAGAGGTGAGGGTACAACAGCAGGATGTGCTATTACAAGAGAAGCAAACGTTAGAACACAGCAGGTTTGCAGCAGAGGTGGATTGCACTGTGCAAAGCAAAAAGCATGCCTGGTGAGAGGCAAGGTGTGCACAAAGACCCACATAAAAACCCATCCTGCCTGAGTTCAATGCAGCTGAACTAGCAGGCAAGATCAAGCCATACAGATGGAATCAGGAACATAGATAGTTTGGATTTTACCACAGGTCAAAATAAGATAAACATGATGATAAGTCATTTGTAACTCCCCATCTTAATAGTTCTAAAAAAAAATTTCTGTAATATGTGAAGTCTGGAGACAAATAGATTTCAGCATAGTAAAAGGAAAGGTATAATGCTGTCTATGTGAACAAACTTAGGAATTAAAACAGTCCCCATATGCAAAAATGCAATATTAAAACGCATGTACAGTCAATGACAGGATAATGTCAGCATTGAGGCTTTTTCTATAATAAATGTGTATTTTGCTTAAGCACTGGAGAGAAAAGGCTGAACTCAGTAACAAATCCACCAGCGGTGGAATTCATAAAACGAAAACTTCCATCAGAGGAGACTGAGAAAAGGGATACTGATTAATTTAAAAACTCATCAAGTCTTTGAAAAGCCATGTTACCAACAAGTATTTCTTATATTAAAGGGCAGAATAAAGGAGAGATGACAACTTACAAGAGAATTGCATAGTTTCTAATAGGTGGAGGAGCCGTTGATGTAGGTGAGAGGAAGAGAGAGACAACAGATACAAACAGCTCCTTGAAGAGTCATACAGAAGGAGGATACTGCTACCTATTCAGACTGGGACAGCAGCAATAAATTCTGGCATCAAATAAAAAACCCAAATGTTGCCAGAGTGCTGCTTCCCAAATCATTGGAAGAGGCTATTTTAATTAGAACCATATTTGAATTGCAGACAACATTTGAATTGTGTAAGAAAAAAGAAGAGCTAATGGTTGACTCACTGCTTCCTACTAATACAGAGCTTTATCCTATCTGTTCTGGGGTGTTTTAGAACTCCCAAAAGATAGAATATTCAGAATGGGAAATTATTTCAGAAAATGCTATTATTAATATTTTTATTGTTATTACTGTTATTATTATTGTTAATCTGTCAAGCTTGTCTTGACTTCCTGCTAATAATTAACCTAGCATTTTAAAATTATTGTAACTTATTTGTTACTTGAATAACAGCCATGCACAAAATATCAGAAAGCCCTAATTCGTGAATTACTTATTCACTGTCTTGAGGCAATCTAGCTGTTTTAGAGACATGTTACTGGATTCTTTGTAGGTTGATTTTTATCAGGGAAAAGGGATGACTCACTGGAGGCCAGGCAGGATGGCACAATACACCAGGTGTGGTAAATAGGAACTCCAGAAGGTAGGTTGTAACAGCAGCAGAAGCTAAATCAGAAAGTCAGCTCACACACAACATGATCTAAGATTCTCTGAGTAAGAAGTTTTAGAGAAGTTTTTTGAAGTAGTAACCCAGACTGATTTTTATTAGATTGGGACACATTTATTTTTATAAGTTCTAGCATGCATATCTGCAGGCTACTATTCAGAACTTTTGATGATGGTAACTTTGCTTAAATTATTAGTTTGAAATTTCTCTGCTTTTTGACCTGAGTGCAGCTGGGCTCCAGTAAGGTGTGTTTATTTCCAAGATGTGGAAAGCAAGCAATAAACCTGGGGCTTTGTGACTGGTAACACCACAATGGTCCCTGCAGCTTTGTTGCCATCACAATGCGGCAGCCCTGTCACTTATGTCTAGTTCAAGGGTGAGAAAAAAGCTGTCTGTTTTAATCAGGTTGGGTTAGCAAGAAAGCAGAAAACACAGGCTGGAAGCTGTGTTTCAATTCCTTTTGCAGCTCAAAAGGTTAGTGTAGACCAGAGAAAGTACTGTTGATGCTGGTAAGGCTGGGAGCCAAGGGGCTGCTTCAGGCAGAGCTGTGGGTGTGTTTACATGGCCTGATGAGTTAGTCCAGCGCTCCACTTGGGCCACCCAGCTCTGCTGAGCAGCTGTGCACATCTGGTCAGATGAAATTACATTACAAGCCAGCCCTTGTGGTAACAGAGGTAGCTCGGCCAGAGCTGGCTCCCGTGTTTTGTATTGAACCAAATTACACTGCATGGACATCTTCTGTCTTCCCATCACAGGGATTGGTTCTTCTCCATTAGGGATGAAGCCTGCTACTGATAATACCTCAGCTACATCCATTCTTTAAACAAAAATTCTGATGGGTTTCTCAACAGAGTCCTGTAAGCCTCTACAAATACCAGCTTACAGCACTTAAGGCTAACCAAATATCTCTCTATCTCTGTCAAAAACCCCGGAGTTATTATTTTACTGGAAATCCTCAGTTTCCTGCTGTGTTATATTACTGTTGCACAGAGCACATCACATGCCTTGGGGAGCAGTAAGTGCTACTGCATGAACAACATGAGCACACAGTGCTGCCAGTTTCCCTTTGGTGCATCACTCACCAGCAAACTGTGAGGATGTCCAAGGCCCTGGATCATACTGCCGACCTGAAGGAATCAAACATTTTGAATGACAGCTAAAAATAGATGTACAGTTCTGTCTTTAGCACCATGACCCCTCTGCAAACCACAGGAGGAGCTACAATCCCAACTCAGCCCTGCAGCTTTACTCATATGCTATTCATTTTAAAAAGCTGGTTTTGATGCAGTAGGACCATTTGAAAAGCAGCCCCAAGTCTGCACAGCTGCCAGCCCTTGTCTTCCCCCTTCCTTGTCTCTATGATCTGCTCAGGGGAAGGTTCAAATGACATCCTCCTCATAAATAATCCCAGCTCAAGCAGCTCCTGTGGTGCCCCCTGGTACTCTTTGACTTCCCCCTGATCCTGCTTCCCATGTTCCCATACTGTTCCTAAGTAATCACACAGGTAAATTAGACCCACAGAACCCTGTTCCCAGGACCCACAGAACGAGCTCTCAGGTTGATCCCAGAATGATACCCATCTCTCCATCTCAGCCAGAACTTCATGCACAGCTTTCCAGCTCCTCATACCAATATCTAGTTTCTTTGCTTTTTGGAAATTTTCCATTCCCATGACCTCCAGCGCTCTGAGAAGGGCTTTGAACCAAACCACTTTTTCCAGGTTTCAGCTAGCTTGCTGCAGTTAGTGACTCCACACCTCTCATCTGCCAGAGTCAATCTCCAGCCTCTGTAAGGAAAGAAACCTCTCTCCTCCACATTAGGAGCACTGTGTATCATAGCACTTCCCAGGAAAACTCATAGCATCAGGCAGTTAACAAGGTTCCTGCAAAGGAATTCCTAGAGTGTTCCACAGGAGTAGGGTGATTTCCAGCAGAATGAGTAGAAAATCAGCTACTTCTAAAGAACAAAATATATTAACTGCTCATGTCACATCTTATACTTGCCTTTCTGTACCTCTGGGTCTCTAAAACTGCCTGGGTTCAGGCTACATCGATAATGTTTTCAGATAAATGTTATCTGAAAAACTCTTATAATTTCTGCTAAGAGAAAGCAGTTTACTAAAACCCCAAGAAAACCATTTTCCATACTTGTTTTAAATTCTACATAGCACATTCAGGTTGCTCAAATACACCAGGTTGCTGTGAATGGGAAACTGGAAGAGTACAGCAAGATTTAGAGTTGCCAGTACTCTTGGCTAAGTGTCAGATGGCACAGAAAGGGCACAAGTTTTGTGGGAGAGCTCATGAGGTGAGGTCACAAATCCTACCACACCTGTATTCAGAACTTGAAACAGGAGAAGGAGGCAGCTGAGGTCTTTAGGATATTATTACAGCCTGTAGACCCTGGCAGGATTTCAAAGGCCTTGAGGAGGGAAAAGGGGGAAAAAAGCCAACTGGGACAGAGCCACTTTCAGCAGAGGCAATGGGGACTGCTAATGAAGGACAAAGGGAACAAAAAAGAATGGTTAGGAGTTCCAGGATTTTATTGGTGAGTTTGACACTTGGTTGAACAATACATACATTTGGAACTGGACATCCAGTAGCTCCCATATACAAACAATCACAGTACCTTGGCAAATTCACAGGGCAGAAGGAAAAACCATTTAAACAATACAGGCTGCCAGTAGCAGGACAGACAGTAGTAAGTAAGCACGGTAGCTGGAAGGGATGGGAGGGGAATGAAGGAGAATGTGGATTATCCAACCTCTAGACAGCTGCCTTCCCTAGCTCAAATTAACCAGCTAATTTCCCCAGGTGCTCTCTATAGAGACAAGCTTTTCCAGGGGACAGTTCACTGCACAATATTATACTGCTGCTCTTCAAAACTCCCATGAATTTATTCCCTGTTTCCTAGGGAAATACTGCTCTCACCAGCAATTGCAGAGCATGCTCAGGGAGATGTTCTAATTCTGATGCCTAGAGATGTGTGAATCTCCTTTTCCCTCCCTCCTCAACTACCCATTATGATTTAGCATGTAAACAAGTGGCATTCACCCCATAGACACAGATCAGGAGTTTGTCAAGGAACAGGGCCTTTCACTGGATGTCATACCTAGCAGACATACACAGAAGATTCTAAGTAATTCTTATCCCAGATGGACTGTTTGTGTTTTGCCAAAAATTCACTTTTCTCCCTCTCATAGAACATCAGATCTGCCCAGGCCATGTCCACCACCACAGTGGCACAGAAGTCCCTGTGAATGCTCAGTAAAATATCCATTTGGGTGGACAAACACAGGATCTACCTGCACAAATCTGCTGCCAGCTCACAGGGGCCTCAATCCACTGAAGGCAACAGGAGTTTTCACTGATTTTAACAGATAGGGTAGATTTAAACAAATGCCACATGCAGAATTCATTCACACATCAAGCTCCAGTCACTGCTAAAATCTGACTGATTTGGGAGAAAATTGTACAGACCTTTCTTGTTTCCAGCAGACTGAATTGTATCCAACTGCTGAACGAACATTTACCCAAAGGAAGACATTCAACTGTCAATATTGACTGGCTGCAGTTATGAATACATTCACAACATATATGCTCCCTTATTAAAAAGTTGCCCAAATTATGAAATAGAAAAAAAAAAAAGACTGAGTTTGAAAGAACAATTGCACAGACTGAAGTTTGCTTCTATATTAATATAGCACCAACAGATGCTGTAATTAGAAAGTAAAAGGCAATCAGAGGAATTGTTAATTTAGACAGTGCTTAGGCATCTAAAACGAAAATGCTTCTTTAGGGAAGTGATAATGTTTTCATATGTGATCCTGTGACTACAGTAAAAATGCTAAAGACCCATTCCCACAGGTGTCCTGTGCTATAACCTGGGCTGGTTTTGGCTGGGGTCGAGTTAATTTCATTCAGAGTCGCTGAATTGGGGGGCTGTGTTTTGGATTTTGCTGGAAACAGTGTTGATAACACAGGGATGTTTAATTACTGCTAAGCCATGTTTGCACAGCCTCAAGGCCTTTCCTGCTTCTCACCCCATCCCATTAGCAAGCAGGCTGTGGGTGCACAAGGATTTGGGAGGGGTCACAGTCAGGACAGCTGACCACAAAGCAGTACTCCATTCCATATGGCACATAAAGCTGGGGAAGGAGACTGAAGGGGGGGGGGGGGGGGGGGGGGGTGGGGGGGTACATTTGGAGCAATGGCACTTGTTTTCCCAAGTAGCTGTTGTGTGTGATGTAGCCCTGATTTCCTGGGGTGTGGCTGAACACCTGCCTGCCCATGGGAAGGAGTGAATAAATTCCCTATTTTGCTTTGCTTGCATGTGCAGCTTTTGCTTTATCTGTTAAACTGTCATTAACTCACCTTTTTTCCCCTCACTGTCACCTTTCTGATTCTCTCCCCCATCCCACTGAGGTACAATAAGCTGACTGGTGCTTAGCTACCAGCTGTGGTTGAACCACGACATAAGTATATGGATATACTTGCAAATTGCTCTGTTTTCTACAATACTGTTCTAAATTTATCACTATTCCTAATGAATTTCTCTGTTTCCAGGAATGCATTAGTGATCTTCTTTTCTTAAATGCAAGATATTTATTATTTTTTTTATATGATCCATTCCCATGCTGAATTAAAACACAAATGAAGGAGAATAATATGCTGCTTTCAGTGCAAACCCAAAAATATTTAGGTTCAGTAGACAGCAGACAGGCAATGCATTAGTTCAATACATGTTTCTAACCTCATAGAAAAGATTTCTATGTTGGCACAGGGCACCTGAGAAACTGAATGAAATCAACAACTCCCTATGAAGAGACAAGACTCTTCTACTCTGGTTTGATACCCAGTATAGATTTAATTTGACTGTAGTTGACCTCCAGTGTGAAATCCAGCCACCCCCAAAAAAACCCCAAATATACATAACTCCTCCTCTTTCCCCTCCCTACCCCCCACATACCTAACAAGCAAAACTATTAATTAGAGCAACCACACAGAACAATTCAGAGCGATTGGAAGAAATGGTCAGGACTGTGGTGGCACAAGTTCTGTATTTCAAGTAAAGAGGTGGAAAACTGAACAGGAACTTCATTCTAGAAAATAGTACGTGAATACTATTGAGGCATGTTCATTTCCAGACATATCTGGAATGGGGGAACAGACCCTGGGAGAGAGAATTATGTATATTATTTACAGTCCTGAAGGATCTACTGTCAGGGATATTCCCAGCTGAACCACAGGAAAGCTTGTTGTTGCTAGGTTCTAACTACCTGAAAGGAGAGGGATGCATCAGAGCAGGTGAATTGTTTAGGACTGGTGCAAACCAGAAGGCACAGGGTATAGCCCAGACTCTCCCAGAACACCTGGAGAGCCCAGGAATCACAAGTAGTCAAAAAGAAGGTAATGGAAACAGAAATAGCAACTGCTTGATGGCAACAGTGAGTTCTAGCCCTACAGCTTTTCCATCTGCCATATTCTTTCTTCCCTAAGAGCAGCCTCAGGAATAGATTTTCTCTGGCTCTTCACAGTACTGTTGGATCACCTCGGCAAGGTCAAGACACCGCAAAATTCGCCATTTCTCAGCAGCCAGCTCCTCCTTGGAGACCTGGCCCAGCAGTTTCTTGGCAAAGAGGTTCTGATCCTGCATGAAAAGGCCCACAGAAGACCTTGGGGCTTCAGGGAAGTTCTCCAGGCAACCACTTGTGAAACAGAAGTTGATTTTCTTTTCACGTCTCATCCCTGGTCCTCTTTCTTCAATCCAAGTCAAGGGTCTAGTGTGAAGGAGCAGAGAAAAAGTATCAATTAAGAAATTGAATCAACAATTCTAATCTGTGGTTTTTTTCTCAGCATTTGCAGAAAAATCTCTAATAAATGCACCATTTTTGAATATCAATCATTGCATATTTAGGCAGTGTGTCCTGAACAACATGCCTTGTGGTTACAGAGCTCAACAGCAGGTAATAGTCTTAACTCTGCCCTGCCACTGTTTCATGCCATGACTTTCAGCACACCATCTAAGCCCTGTCCAGCTTTGTTTTCCCTATGCACAAAGTAAAGGAAGCAACATAAGGAAGTCTGTTCTGCCTTATGACATTCCATGTCATAAGGAAGAGGGAAGTGAGTGGACTGTTTGTTTGTGGAGTTGGATAAAAAGTGCCGTTTAGTCCAAAAATTTTGTACATAATTCAGTCACAGCAAAACTCTAAAGGCCCTCAATGTCTAATCATTCCTCCAGCAATAGATTTAAGTCACACAGGTACATAATGATCACCCTGTGCTACTATGAGAGCTGAACCCCACCTGTTTGTAATGAGCTGGACAAATTCACTGACAGAGACACAGGTGTCCATACTCTTTGAACTTTTAAAATGTTTCATTCTCATCACTGGGAACACTGTGCTGATCCTAAAAATCATACCTACACAGACTCTCAGATAGGCTTTTCTTAGTCAGAGCACAGCACAATAGCACAATCTTCAAACCAAGCCTGGTGGTATTGGCTGTTGACTTGCACAGCTCACACCTTCCTTCCCAACATGCCATCCTGGCTAAGGGGAAAGGAGCCATGGGACGTGCTGTGCCACTTCAGAGGTCTTAACAGACTCCTTGACCCAAGACTGCAACACCTTTGAGGAATGGCCCTCAACACCAGCCACAGTCACGATGCTCCCTTCCTGCTCTTTTGTCAACTGCTGTACCACTGCCTTCCCACAGCTCATTCATCAGCACTCACTACTGCCTGTGTTTAGAGGATGCACATTATTTTTCTTGCTTCATTATTGATGGCCCTTCCACACTCCTTTATGGCCCACTTTAGTCTGCCACTCACAAATTATGAAGGCATCAATAGCCCGGAAGAATAAATTCTGTCTCCAAGTACTGCCCATTAAATCTTCAGTATCATTAGATCTGGAAAGAAAGTCCTTGTCAATCTGCCCTGAACACATTCCGCAGAATGCTCAGCTTAATGTTTCTGCACCTCTCATCTTTTATGTTCTAGGATTCAGTTTCTATATTTACATCATCGTATCAATTATTCTTTGCTCATCTATACTTCCATATCCCCACCACTCCCCTTACAAATTAAGGATGGCCTGATGAACCTGATGGAACAGAATTAAACAACTGAAAGGGGGGAAAAAATGTCCAAATCACAGCTTGCAAGGATGCACCAGAAACATTCTTAGAGGACTAACAAATGCAAAGGCACCATGCATTTTAGGAAGTCCTGGGGCTACATGTCATTGCAAGCCAGAGGGGCGTTTGGGGACCATATTGCTCAGTGTTTTCTGTCTTCCCATCCTCCTTCCCTGAGGATGTCGATCTGGGTCAGAGGCAGGCTGCTGAGCAAGCTGAGCTTTGCTCTGACTTGACAGAGCCAGTTTTATATTCCTATGATAGTAAAGAGTCAGAGAGGGTTCAGGCCATTGTTATTCAAAGCTGCTTTATCTCAGGTAGGTAGGCGTGAAGAAACCACTGGGCAGGCACAGGCAGAGATCTCCATCATGTACTAGCAAGGACCTCTCAATATGATTCAAAACAGCCCCTGTCGGTGCAGGATCACCTCCCTGGGGTGATCTAGAGCAGATGCACACCAGTGATCAGGCTCAAGTGTATGCCTTCTGCTCTAGCTTGGGAAGCCACTGAACCAGAAGCACAAACATGCAGAGCGGGCAGAATTTAATCAAAGTGATTAGAATGACTGATTTAGATCAGTGAGCAGGAAAATGTTGGATTTAATAATAGATTTATCTTCTTCTGCAATTGGATTTTTAGTCATTTTCCCAAAGAGAGGTTGATTCTACTTGATTGGTAAGCAAAATGTATTCATTTTTAATTAACAACTTCTACTCTGAAATAAGCCTCTTGCTTTGCTATAAAGACAAGCATGTTGCAAGTCCACACATTATTTAAGCAATTTTGTAGCTTAAGAAACAGATTCATATTTTATGTCAGAAAATTGTGAAGTGCTGTAGCTTTTTTCATAGACAGTTTACCCACTTCCATTAAAGATTTGTATCCAAGTATTATCTAGCTACATTTAGTTGTTTAGAAGTCTTAGTAGAGTTAGTTACAAGCAACAAATCCAACATTTTTGATATCTGAATAAAGCTGGGTTACATATGTTGGGTAGCTAAAGAAAAACAAATTTTCATCAAGCAGTAACAAACCACTTTTACACTGAATGCAAACAGTCTGCAGTGAAGAAAACACCCTGACTTTCTATGGCCATTTTGTTTTTCCAAATTGTAAACTGCTAGCATTTTCTCAGCTACATTGAAAAAGACTTCTTACTTTTCTGATTCCCTTTTTCCTCAAATAATGAGTGGCCCTTGCTGGACTGCAATAACTCAATAAACCAATATGAAGCAAACACCCTTTGTACTTCCAGAAGAATAAAGCTGGTTCCATGCTTGAAAGAATTCTGGGTCCACTCAGCTTAAATTTTATGAAGCAACTTCTGCAGAAAGCATGTATTATATAATTTTCTATGAATGTTCAATCTGAAGATATTTTATTAGACTCTGTAAACTTAGCTCTCCATAAAAACATAACTTCAAATGTTTCTTGTCAGAATATGTTTAGAAAATGTCTTCAATTTCTTTTAAACATTTTCCTTTTAACTCTTTGAAAATGCCAATATTTTTAATTTATCATTAAATCAATGAGAGACTCCCTTAGCTTGGATGGGAATTAGACAATTGGATCCTATCCCTAGTTAACATCAAAAGAGATACTGCCCAAATCATTATCTCTCCAGCTTGCACTAAAAATTAATTTCTGACATTTACTGAGTCCAAGCTCTGTAATCATGGGACAGGAACTGCAGTCCCAAATCAGACGTGCTGTCAGTAGAGGTTTGGCTTCAGTAGAGGTTTGGCTTTTCCTGGATTGCTCAATGTTGTATCACAGAGAGGCTGTCAGCTCAGCTGTCTTGGACACACAACAGAGGCAGAGGTCATCTCTCGAAGAGCTGGGTGCAGGCATTAACACACACCTCCAAAATCCACCCAGAGCCAGACTAGCAGCGAGGGTGGGCTGTGCAGTGGAGACAGACTATACCCTTTGCACAAATCCCTGCTTAACAAGCAGAACACAGGCTCTTGCATTCTGCACCTGCTGTATTTTCCAAGGCAGAAAATAGGATGAATTAACCTGATTTCTCAAGGATACTGTATTCATATATTTCAAAAAAGGATGGGTTAGCTCTCATGAAAGGTACAGACCTTTCCCATCCTTCAGCAAAATAAAGGTTGGGCAAATTAGATCTGTAACACCACTACCATTACTGCTGGGCCGTAACTTCACTTGACAAGAGAGTGGGCCAAATTCTCTACTGCAATAACTCCACTGACGTCAGTGGAGGAAGGTCAGCAGGAAATATGGCCCCAGCACTGAACACAATACAGGAACGCTATGTAATTTTCCACCCACCCTAAATTATCCCAGAGGCATAAAACTGACTGTCCCCAAAGTTATTAAAACACTTATGGTGAGAAAACACTGATCCATACAAATAGAAAAGGCCAAGAGAAGCAAATATCGGCTAGTGCTGAGGAGCAGGAAAAAAAAAAGTCATCCAGAAACAGCTCTGTATCCAGCAAATATCATACATAGCAGCTAAGGACTACCCAGGAGACTGGACAGCCAGGGAAATGTTTAAACCACCCGCTAGTTCCATCTGCTGGAATTAGTTCAAAATCTCACCCTATCTAGATCTTTACAGCTACTTATGTTACTGGCAAATTGCTAAGAGGGTAAACAGAGCTTGTATACAGACTTCTGTCCTCTCACAACTGCATTTCAAAAGGAATTGGAAATGCTGTTTTATTTAAAGAGAGAGAAAGATTGCTAAAACCAGATGATAATCCCATGATAAACTGCAATGGCATTCGTAGGAGTGGCTGATGAATTGCTTAACCAGACCTGCAGTAAAGTTAAGAGTTTAAAGGAGCCCTGATTATTCACTCCCCAAATACTCTAACTAAACATTTATCTAAAATGCTGGGTTAGGTTTGGGCTTTTTAAGAGGTCTACTAGCATATCTGCAACCAAAAAAAAAAAAGAAAAAAAAAACCAAAAAAACCAAGGAGTTCACCATTGGAAAATTTCTCTCTAACTTTTCATGCCAGATAATTCTCAAATTCTATCTTGTTGCTTTAAAATGACATTGTTACTTCATCTTATTTGAAAGGACATGAACTCTGCACTCCAGAGGATGACCAAACCTGAGAGTTTCCACCACTCTCTGGACCAAGCTAAGTAGTCAAGTCACAGTATGAAATACTGGTGACTTTCTTCATAGTTATAAAATACCACTTTTTAGCAAGGCTGTTAAAAATATCTATTTGATAGAAAGGATATTGTCACTGCATAATAAAGGAAGATCAAACTCAGTATTATAAAATGCATCTTTAAAAGACATGTACACTTCCATGCCAGTCTCCACCTGTTTCCACAAGAGAAGAGGATGCAGAACTCCTGCAGGCAAAAGATGTGCAGATGATGAGGAGCCTGGCTCACATGTTGCCATAGACATTACTCACTTCTTGTTTGCAGTCTGAAAGTGAACAGTCATTCTGGAATAATTCTTATCCTTCTGCTTCTCTCTGGTGGCAGAGGTAACAGTGAGGTCTCCAAAGAGGTCAATCAGCCATGTCAGACGGGCAATTCCACTGAAAGCTGGGAATCCTGATTTGTTTTCATCAAGGACACTACCTGGTGGGATAGAAACTCTTGAGGAATAGGAAATAGAATAATGCCTTCTGCATAGGAAAGGATGAAGAAGCTGCAGTGTTGCAGGCTTGAAGATCAGGGTGTAGAAAAGTCAGCAGATAGACTGAGTAGGAAAGTCAATAAACACATTTAATGTTGAAATGGATCAGTTGATGAGCTGTAGCAGAGAGGGCTGCATAAAGTACATAAACAATAAACCCTTCAGGACATGTTGAGGACAGGAGGGTGTATGTGGATTCAACAAGGGAATTATCCAGAGGCAGTACCTGTGTCTCTACTCAGTTTATAGACAGTGTCTTGTGTGAAAGGACTGAATGAAGCCTGGAAGCACCGGCATTCCTGGGGAGCAAATCCAGTTAGATTTTGATTTCTTCAGAGCTACTGACCTGTGAAATGCAATGTTCCCTTCACCAGGTCTTTCCCAGCCACCTCTTTTTTCAGCTGCTTGTACTCTTCAGTAAGAAGTTCAATGTGCTCCACATGGAGTACTTTACCTGCCATTAAGAAAACCAAAAAAAAACGAAACAAAACCACACAAAGAAAAAAAAGAAATCAGGACAGATTAAATAAAAGTTTCCTGTGTGAATCAAAGTTATGTCTAAACAGTAAAGGCTTCACTAGCCACCAGTGGGAACTCACTCAGAAATACTCTCATGCACAGCTCACAAAGTGATGCCAGGAAGAAAATCAAACATGGAAGCATGGGCCCTGAGCTGAAGCATCAATCTGGGTTAATGATTTTCAGGAGACTACAAATACAGAAACTACAGGAACAGTAGCCACTATGTCTAACAGAAACTGCGTAATGAAATCCAGTACCCAGCTAAGGCTGAAATATGAGTCTTCAGAGTAATGGATGGATTAATTCTTGGCCTCTTTCCCCTCACATTTCCTTGTTCTGCATGTTTCCTCCCAGGGTAGTAGGAAAATAAAAAGAAAGGGAAAAAATAGAATAATGCTCAGACCCAGATTGGAACAATATGTTAAAGAGTACCTCCCTCCACTGCCATTAATTGGTCTACTTTGAAATGGAGGTTATCTGATACAAGTTGAATGTGTCCCTCATTCAGTATGTGTTTTTCTGGAAGATTTCCAGGGGAGTCATTGTAGGCTGCTGACAGTAACTACTGCTGCTCCAAGAAAAGAGGTATAAATTCTGCTCAATGGGAAACCATTTGGTGAGCAACAAGGCAGTAACTGGTGCTGGTACAGGGAAACAGCAAAGCAGAAATCCTACACCTCCAGTGTTTCAGGACTAAAGTCACAAAGGAGATCTTTAAGAAGCAGCGGTATAAAAAGTGCAGTTTCTCCAAATGATTTGCACTCCACTTCTGCCCAGCACTGCTCTTTGCCTTGCAGTCCCATTCATCCCCACTGGCCCCAGCAGAACTGCCAGCTTCTGACCCTTTGCACCACTGGGATGGGACCACACACTTTCTGGAAAAAAGGAGATTTTGCTTAGAGACAGTCTGTCTTTCAGACAGTGATGCCTTGCTTGCCTACAGTAACATGAGCATCTGTGTGTGGCCAGCACATCACAAATGTTAGAAGCTAGGAGAACTGTCTGCAGTTCCACTTCCAGGGAGAGAGAGGACACAGAATTGCACAAGTCCAATAGCTGCACTCAAAGTGCTTTACTATCACTGTGACAGAAGTTTTCCTCTTTAACTGCATTCTAAGTGTCACAAATAGAGGCTAGAGTTTTTGTGAGGGCAAACATACTTTACTCTTAGCAGTGACATTTGTGTGTTTGTTCCTCTATTTGCACAAGTCTTACATCTCTGAGACAGTCATACTCCCTTGCATGTGACAGCCAAAACTAGGCTGGAGACTTGCCTTTGAATTCGGTGCCTTTGGTGCTAACCAACAGCTAAGAGAGACTGCTTACACTCTTGAAGAACAAAAGTGTTACCTTTCTGCTCAGCCATCTCCCAGAGATCATGGGCTGCCTTAGCAGACAAAGCCATGGGGTACTCTACGAGGACATGTTTCCCAGCTTCTAAGAACATTCTGAAAGGGATAAAAGATCACCCATTAAAATGAGTATTATCCTAATCCTCTCTCACCACAGTAAGAATCACCAAACTGCTTCTCATTCCCACAGCCAGCTTCACATGGAGAGATGCACGACATGGAGTAACAGAAATAAATGGCAACTTTCCTAGCAAGGATAGTGTGGTGGCTACATCACACATTTAAACAGCAGGGGAGTGGGGTTTTAATTCTTCTTTTGCCACAGAATTCCCTCACTCACCCACATCAAGTTGCTAAAATGTTACAGCGTTGAGCACTGCAATTTCTGACTTACAGACATATAAGCAGTTGGAGTGGGGCACTGGATTACCCTTCCATAATATAATCTGTGAGGAAAGGCTTTAAATCCTGTTTTAAGCTGCCTGTCCATCAAACACAGGCCTAGAGGTGTGGAAATGGAATTACTTGGGAAATTAATGCATCTTAAATCCTACTCTCTTCCAGGGCTTATTGGTGCTCTAGGGAACTCACTATCATTCACTTCAGGCCTCTAGTCTGGCAGTCTTTCCTCAATGTTCATATCTTCTCCTGCAATAGCATTACATTAGCTCCTCTGTGCATCTAAAATACAGGGGAAAGGAGAAAAAGAGGGGGTGGGGGACCCCCCAGAATACCTGATGGTTTCTTCATGGCTTCTGTTCTCTGTGCTGATGAAGGCTGCATGGATGTCTTTGTTTCTCAGAGCATCTTCCAGGCTAATCTGCTTTGCCTCATTAATATTGCCAAAACTCCTCCTGCATATTTAGCATAAATACAACCAGAGTATCTGTCACAGTCCATTCTTCCCAACCACACGTTGTGTAGCAGTAATTAAAAATTGTTCCCATGGACCACTGTCTCCCTGAGTTCAACCAGGATATAACAACCAGTTTCTTATCCAGGGAGAGCATGAGCACTTACAGACAGAAGTGGAATGGAGAAGAGAACCAACAAAAATGGACAAGTGTGCAGGTGGTGGTATCAGTCCAGAAACTGGCTTGCTATTGAACTGTCAAGTCGTTTTTGGTTTTGGTGTTTCGGTTTTTAATAAGCATTATTACCAAAGAGATGTTGTAAGAGTAAGTTGAAAGAGTACACTGCTCCTATGGGAGAACTTCTCCCCACTATCCTGGGCAATGTGGTCAAAAGCACTTGAGATGGCAGGCACACACACAACTGCAAGTACAGACAAGCAGGAGAGGGACAAAGCAGATGCTTGGCTATGATGGCTCACCTTGCAACACACACAGCATGTCAGTGATAAGGGGGAAGCACTCTTGGGCAGCAAGCTGAGCACAGCTCCACCTGAAAATGAAAAATACAATCCCTCCAAAAGCCCTTTACATTACTACTGACTGGAGGAGGCATTGACAATATTAGGATAGGTGACAGAGGGCAGGAAGGCAGGCCACAAGCAGGACTTGAAAGCAGAGACAGGTGATGTTTGTGTGTGATGGGGATCCAAGGAAGATTACTGTGGATCATGCATTTCAACAGCATTGTTTCTCAAAAAAACAGTGGTGGAAACCCTATCTTCAGTGCTCTTCAAGGTTACCTGTAGCACTGGCAGAGGCATCAGAGAACCAAAAGTGCATTTGGCAGGAAGATAAAGTGGGTGACCTAATTAGTCCTTTCTGTCTCAGGCAACCCTGCACGACTCAAATGTAGCTGGAAAAATACATTCACAATCTGAGATCCATAAAGGTACTGCCTAACTATTTCAAAATTTTATGCTCCACTGTAATGGGTCAGACAAGTCCAGCAGGAATGCTCAGAGGAAGGTACACACTAAATTTCCACAGTTCCAAACTAGTGAAAAAAACTCTTGTTCTCTAAGAAGCGTAAGGATAAAAAGCAACCTTATTGCATGTAGCAAATCACAGGATTTTCTTTAGATATCTATAGGTTCAATACCTGGTTTAAAAAAAATACTAGAATTTTATTATTTATTCAGTACTCCAGAATTTGGAGTATTGGGGGCATTAGAACATGTTTTTGCAAAACAACTTTTTAAAACTCTGTAACGCTTATTTTTTTAGCATTTCTAGAAGTGTCATGCAGACACTAGATCATTAGAGTACTTACTGCCTGCACAACCTTAAATCTACAGGAAATTCCAGTCAGACAATTTCTTTTTATCACACAGATTCTACAGCAAGAACATCTCTCAGTTTTTATTTTAGTAATTTCTGAAAAATATCCCACTAAGGTAACCTATTTGTTCCCTCTTGCAAAGCTTTCTGTGCTCACTTGTGAGCTGCCACTCAGAATGACAGGCATATTTGCATGAATATTCCCTTTTTGGAATGAAAAAGAAGAAAAAAACCCATTGCAATATACATATTAGACATGCTAAGATGAAATTTCTAACCTGGATACAAATCCGAAGAGTTTCAGGTGTTCTGAAGGGCTGGAAGGCATCGGATTCATCAAGTCTCGGATTCGTGCTAAGCCAGCAATTCCAACTCCAACCACCACAGTCCCAAACATTTTGCTCATCTGTCCAAAAGAAAAAAAGAAAAGGCAACATTTTTTTTTCTTTTAACAGGGACAAGCGCAACTTGGAGGGAAGGTGGGAGAATGGATACTCTTGAACCCTGCTTTCATAGCACCAAACCTTATTCAGGTGTCAGCAACCACCTAACAGAGATGTGATGCTACAGGCTACTGAGCTCACTCATATCCCATTGAAATGGGATCAAGAAGTTCAGCCTGTCATAGGACTGGTCTTGAGATTTGTATTTAACAGCTATTAAATCACAGCGCCAGCAAAGTTCTTCCTTTCCGTGAATAGAACACAGACTTCAAAAGCGAGACATTCTTCTATTTATATCGCCACTTCCAAGCTGGAAAGGAGCCAAAAGGTTCTGCAAACCCAGCAGAGCTTTATATAAACCCTGCTGACTTCCTGAGCGTCTGCAGCACGGTGCCACATGGACAGTCCCAGTGCTCAGCAGCATAGCTGGAATACTTTGGGACAGGAAGCAAAGCGCATCTTTTCATTCCCCGTGTAACCACCGGCACATCCTACAACGTCAAGCTGTGACCAACCATCTAATTTGATCAACATGCTTGCTTGACATTTCCATGCACAAAGAAAGCTCTGCCATCTCTTTAATGACAAGCAGGCATGTCTTTAAGATTTACATCTCCCAAATGCAATTGCTGACACAACTGCATAATATGGAGGATGAGACAGGTATTGCACTCACTGGCTGGGCTGATGGGCCTCTGGCAATAAATTCTTCTTGGTTTTATGATTTGCTGTTGATCTGCAGAAGCACTTGGCAACTGATGAAGCCTTTCAAACCTGCACTGTCCCAGCACCCTGAGGACTAGCAACACTTTGTAAATTGATTGAAAATTTACAGGAAAATGGCCTAAAATGAGTGATGGGGGGATCCAAGGAAGATTACTGTGGATCATGCATTTCAACAGCATTGTTTCTCAAAAAAACAGTGGTGGAAACCCTATCTTCAGTGCTCTTCAAGGTTACCTGTAGCACTGGCAGAGGCATCAGAGAACCAAAAGTGTATTTGGCAGGAAAATAAAATGGGTGACCTAATTAGTCCTTTCTGTCTCAGGCAACCCTGCACGACTCAAATGTAGCTGGAAAAATACATTCACAATCTGATCAGACCCTCTTCATTTTTTGTTCATTTCATCTCATCAAAGTATCTCTGCTTCAATCTTTGTTTCTTTTGTTTCAGTCTTCTTCCTGCCACTGCCAATCCCTTCACTTGAGTGAGGCTCTTTAGATTGTTTACACTACTTGGCTGCAGCCCTTCACATCTTTCTGAGACTGAGATGGGTAAATGGACAACCTCACTTAACTCCTCCTTGTGCCTCTTGTCTGACAGGATCACAGTGCAGCAGCAAAGCCCTAAGTGACTGTTCTGGCAGTGAAAGAGGTTGACAGCTGCTGGCACAAAGGAAAAAAGATCTCCTCTCCAATCACATGCCATGTTTGTATTTTGTTTTCCTTTTAGCTCCTGCCTATGGTGATGAATGCCATTCACTTCATATTATACCAAAAAGATACAAAGGTAAAACACAGAGCAACATGTTTAGTGTAAGAAAAGAAATTACTGGTATATCAGAGTTCTCTAGGGGAATTACAGTGACATTTTATTAATAAGTATTTGTGGTATGGCATGGTGACACTATTCATGAGGGAAAATAAGTGTTTAGGGCTGACAGAGGCTGTGGGAAAGGAGGACAATGTAACCACAAAACTCATTTTCAGTACCACCCACAGGCAGAGTCCTGGTCTGGGCTCTCCATCGCATTTACTTTTCTCTTCGGCCAAAAAGAGACAGACTTGCAGAATGACCTCAGCTGAAAGGAGCCCCAGAAGGTCAGCCAATCCAAACCCCACTCAGCTGCACCAGGGCCATGCTGAGTTCTGACTGCCCCCATGGCTGGCAATCCTTCAACCTCCCATGCCCCTGCCACACTGTTTGATCACTGTCACAGCAAGAACTTTCTTTAGTATTGTAAGGCTCCAGACAACACTGATCAAGAAAACTTTGAAAAGGGCTTACAGTTGCTCATGTACTCTTGAGTTAGATGCACAGGAAAAATACTGAGAAGATATTTTCAAGAGGTCAAAACAACAAAAAAGATTTTACTGGCAACTTTAAAATATCAGAGAAATTTGGCAAGTTTAGTGCAACATTCAACCAACAGAAAACACTTTTCAAAGCATTAACTTGGCCCATTCAACTTTGCAAACTAAGACAGTTCAATTTTAAGTTACTCAAAAATTGAAGAAGAGGGAATTAGATGAGAGAGCAAGAAAGAAAGAAAAAAAAAGAAAATATATAGAAAAAACCAAATACAGCTACCAGCTTCTGGGTTCCAGCAGTGTCCAGACAGACATTCCAAGAGGAGGTACAGTCAAGACATCTGACTGCCTTGTCTTCGGCCTTAAATACCCCTTAGTCTTCCTGGACCCTACTCCCAGCTGGGACTTCCAGTCATTTGGCCACTCAGGAGCTGAGCTAGGGGCTCTAGAGGCAGGCACGGAGCATTGTCTCTGGTGTGCCAGGGATTGGCAGCTGCTGCCAGGCTGGGATACAGGCTCTGGGGTGGGGGTGTACAGGGCAGGGCATTGCCTCGCCAGAGCAAGGCCTGACCTGCCCCTTCCTCCACACAGATGCAGCCCATAATGCCTCGAGACATCAATGTTTCCAGTCTCTCACAAGTCAAGCTTGAAAAGAGCTGATCAGGAGCTTACTTTAGGTCCAGAAATTTTCAAGGTTAGTGCAGTGTTAAGCTGTTAATATTTTCCCACTGCCTTCAGCAAGACTGGGAGCTGGAGTCATACAGCAAATTCCCCTGAACCTCCTACACCTCCTACAGTCATGTTGTTTCCAAGAACTATTTTTTTTTTTTTTTTTCCCCTTTCAGGTTAGCTGCAGACCTCTATTTCAATTAAGTGGAGAAAGTAGGAGAGCTGACTGCCTTCTCCAGGGAACAAAGAATTTCTTTCTGCAGATGCTCAGGTAGCTGAACATCAATATTTTTGCCTCTCCTTTGAAAAAACAATTTCCTAGTTTCTTCTGATGAACATCTGACCTCAAAACTAACATTTAAGAGAAGCAAGATGATTTCAACCCAAGAACAAAACCTGTTACTGTGCAACCTGTTGCCATAGCAACGAGCCATTTGGTCCAGGTCAAGGGTCTGGTGGCTAATACACAGCTACTAAATGTACGTTCTGGAACCTCCGCTTACACACGTAGCCAAGAGAAAAATTGCTATGTTTGCATCCCTGCTGCGGCTTTTTATTACCCTTATTTTGCTCACACACCAAAATCTACAGGCTGCTCAGGGAAAGAAGTAAATTAGGTGTTTTTCAGAGCTGTTACAAACCAGGTAAGAGCAGAATAGAGAATTCTCATCTGAGAGTCCAGATGAATATATAAAAATTTACTACTTCTTTCAAACCTATCAAACCTTCTGTCAAGAGGATAACAGCTACAATAATCTTTCAAGTACAAAAATAATGAAGTAGGAAACCAAAAACACAAACTGCTCTGCCTTTCATGCTGTTTTCTTAAAATCAGTGATTTCTGTTAAAGCTTTAACAAAAAAGATTTCAGAGGCATTTTCAAGGCTTCTGAACTTTGGTTCCTGTTATACTGAAAAAAAGTCATACTCTAAGTTACACAACAGTATATTGGCCAGTGTCCAAAAGCATTTTCTCCACCCTTTCCTAACTGGCTATATGAAAGCAAAGAGAGATGATGAAAAGATTAGGAGATGTCTGTCATGCTCACATGCTGTGACTTAGGAATGCCTCCCACATCACAGCAGCACCCACCCTGGTCAGTTTGCAGGCAGCCCTGCCAGGCTCTCCACAGGTCCCCTCTGAACTGGGACAAGGGGGATGCTGGCCATCACTGACTGGGTGGGAGCTCTTCCCCCCTGACAGCCAGCACAAGAGGCTCCTTACCAAGGGAGATGAGCCCTGCATGACACAGAGGAAGAGCTGAGAAAGGCAAATAGCTGAGGAGGATAATTTATTCTACACCAATATATCATTGTACCATCACCCCTCTGCTCTTGAGCTTTCTGTGCTTCTGCTGCGTATTTCCTGCATTAGAGCTAGGGTATCCTGCAGTAATTAAAAAAAAAAAAAAAAAAAAAGAAAGAAAAGAAAAAAGAAGTGGTCTATACCCAAATATTCTTGCAAAATTTAGCAGCAAAGCAGGAATATTTAGGAGCAAATCAAACAATGGAGTAAGTCCAATTAAATCTGTCACCCAGCAACAGTGTTCCTCCCCAGCGCAATCACAAGTGGGACCCTAAATCTCAAAACTGCTAACACTGAGATAAGCCTGAGGGAAGTGAGGCTAACCTCTGTTTTGTGCAACATCACTAAGGCCATGCAAAGTAGTGCAGAAGCAAGCTAAAAGGCAGAACTTAGAAATTATCTCCCCTTCAAGTAAATTTCTCATGGCATGTCTACACATTACAGAATGAGTACAAGCACCTTCTCCTGTGATCTATAAAGAATTTCAGTAAGCCTCCTGCATTTTCCCTGCAGTTTTCAAACTCTCGTTGCCACAAATACAAATGAGTGACTTACATCAAAAATCAAAACATTTTGTAGCTAAAGTCATAGGTAAGAGCATAACACTGATGCAGGAGGCTTTCCTGAAGCAATCTTAGCCTGGTGTTTTTAAGTGTACTGCTTCAAGTGCCACATGCATATTGAGAGTAGCAGAAACCTCACAGGTAAGTATTTAATCTGAAAATATTGTTGTCAAGGTTAGTTCACTTTTGCATACTCAGCAGTTGAACTATGGGTGTCTGAGCCTGGCTGCTGGAGGGATCCCCCTCGTACATAAGAACATACATACACACCCTTCCTAGCAGACCTTCACTCTGCTCAGAGAGGTGAGCAGGATGAGACTGCTGGTGCTGTGTTTCTTTGAATGTTCTGTCTGTGATCTGTGTGTCTGGACATGTACACATGCATACACATATACAAGGTGTGTATGTGTGCCCTGCTTGCTTGTGCTGGGAATACATTTTAAGCCCAAATATTGATCAGGGCTATGCAAGTCTTGCCTCTTTCAGGCTGCTGGATTCAGCCTGATCTTTTCACCTAACAGAAAACCGGGCTGGACTTGTTGCCAGATGAAAAACTGCCTGCACCTGGTGAGTTAACACAATGCTTATTCTTCAAAAAAAATGGCCTATGGACTGCATAATACCCATTCTGAAATAAAAGTCAGGTACGACTTTGGGGTTGCCAACCACCAGGGACCACCAAAGGGACCCCAGAACAAAAGAACATATATGTAAAGGGAAGGTAAAATATGTTAATGATTTCTGGGAAATTATCATCATATGTATGTTTATTCTGGGAAAATCAATGAATATATATGTAAAATACAGTATATAAAAAAGACCTTTTCTGTATTCAGCATGCATGATTTTTGGAGGAGATATCCCCTCATGCCTCTGGCCAAATAAGGAATTCCGGCTTCCTAATGCTACACTGGCGTTAAGGAGTTTTTATTTTTACTGATTTTTGGTAACAGACTGAGAAAGTTTTCCAGAGCTCCCTTCAAATGGATTTGTTGTTTAGACATCATACAAAATATTTTCTCTCTTACTGCAGCAGAGCCCTGAGATGAGGGTTGCAGAACCTTCCTCAACACAAGGGAAATAGGGAAATAACAAATAGACAACAGCAGTCACTGTAAAATCATCAAGGTGAAAATCTGAGGTTTCTCTCAGCCCTAACTTTCTGATTTCAAATACCCAGAGGCCTGGCGGATGCTGTACTCAGGGTGTTTGGACATGCTACATCCTGTTCCACCACATCTTGCTCTCATTGTCTACCCTTAGCATGAAACATCTGCCCAGAGCATAGAAAGAAGAAGCTGAACAGAGTGGATTCTGTTAGTGTTGTTATTTAAAAATTTAGCAGCCTGTTCAAAGGCATAAATACCTTATTTTCTGCAGGAAACCAGTTACTCACTTTAACTTCTGTATATGCTGAAGTATCGCCTGGAAGGAGATCCGGCACAGGTTTCCAATTGAAGATCTTAAATAAAAAGGCAAAAAAAATTATTGTTTTAATTCAGTTAGCATGATGGATAAATTTTGCTCTGCTTTTACTGCAACCTAGAGAGAAAAGTAGTCTTCTGCAAGAAAAAGACAGTCAGAAAGGTAACTCCCAACACTCTTTATCACTTCTCTTCAAAACATTAATTGAACATAAAATGAGAATCAGAAATTTTCTCAAAAACCTGCCAAGACCATTTACAGTCTTCACATTTCAGAGGAAAACAGCAGCACCTAGAAGTAATAGAGCAACCATGCACATCCTCCTTGAGAGCTGTTTGTTATAGACTAAAATACCTACCCTCACCAGCACCTCTTCCTCTCTCCCACCCATCTCTGGCTATCACAACCCAGGCCACAGCCTTCTGACAGGCACACCGGCTCTGCTGAGTGAGTTACAACTTCAAGGCACCAACTGTCATAGAGGTTTGCCATCAGAAAACAATCTCTCATCCTGACTGGCACCACTGTACTTTGGAAACAGCCAGAGGGCTTTTCTTTGTGGCTTTTAAACGCCACTTGAACAATACACCTGCATTGTTTTACTTTTATATGCAGCTTCACCAATTAAATTACGATTTTCCAGCTGACTGCCAAAGCTGAAGTTGATATAGTTACATTGATATATGGTCAGATGCTGTGTTAAGCTGCGAAACAAGCACCTTTATTCAGCAGATGGTTGATAATAAAGAACTGCAGTTGTAACAGATATGCGGTCTCCAGCATTAATACCTGAGCAGGAGGAAAACTTATTTCAACACAGTTCTGCTAACCCTGGAGTCTGCCGTGGTCCTGACACCCATCACGTGGCTAGTTTCCAGAGCCTGCAACTCCATACTTGAAGCAAAATCATCTCACAAAAGTAATATAAAGCCATGAGAAGTACTGAAAAAAATCTGAAGATCTGGTTTTAATATGTGACATATTCCACACTGTGGTGGATTGAAACAGAAGTTCTGTGATGTACGTGCATGGCTAAGAATGACCATTTTGTACTGTTCTCTTGACTGTAGTCACCCTTTGTGATTCAGATTTGGTTGCTAGTCTGAAGAGGAAAAATATTTTTAAAATAGCTTCTCTACATATCTCTGGGACCTATCTTCACTCTGACTCATTTCATTTGAAACTCAAATTACATTTCAATATACCTACACTGCTAAGTCTGAAACTATCCAAGAAAGTACTAAGCCTGCTTAGGGGCACCTGAAAAATTAATTAGAGACAGACATGAAGGACGTCAGTTTTTATTTTATAAAAATATCTCCTTAAAAAAAAAAAATTAAACCCTTACTTTTAATAAGCTTCCAGGAACTGCTCTGGACTGAATTAAAGCATGTCTTGTGAAACTTCTGATGGGTAAATAAACAATTGCACATAACTGCAGTCTCATGACTGCTACTTTTTAAGCAAAAGGCTGCTTGTATGTGGCTAATTAGCATATGCCTAAAGCAAAGAGAGCCACAAAATGTACCCAAAATTTCTTTCAGGCTTTTATGTTCTAGAGGGAGAGGGAGAGGGATTTAACAAGCAACAAGTCAATTGCTTCGGAGTAAAGTCCATTCAGAAGAACAAGCATGTTTTGGAGCTGTCAGTGATTCACAGATCCTAATTTTCCAGGTGACCAAACAGCAGTATTGCTACACTACCAATCTGTGTCTGAGAAAATAACCCTGAATAAAGCTAAAAATGGTACAAACTCAAAAAAGGGGAAAAAAAAACCAAACCATGAAACATCCTCCACCACATTTTTGACTAAACATCTGCACAAACACTAAAGACATCACGAAGTTGAACTCTGCCAGGTCACTGGGGACCATGAACCATATCCCCTAGCTTCCCTACAGAGCAATAAACCCCCCAGCATAAAGTCTCTGCACAGCTAAGTGTCTGAACGCTTAATTACTGAGACTCTGCTTAAAACACCTATTTCATACAAAGGAAATGCTGTTTCATGCTGAGTCTTACACTTTTAAAAACTGAGTGCTTTTCGTGTGTTTTAAAAAACTAATTGGAGAACTACTTATCCATACCTTCATTTCTGGGAAAACTGCTCAGAGCTAATCACAAGAGGTGTAGATGACAGGACAGCCCATGAGACATGCCCAAGAATCTCAGCCCCTTCCCTTCACTCGCTTACACTGCCTGTCTTGTTTTTGCTGTGTCACTTACTGAGAGAAGAAGCTTCTCCACCTCACCTGATAGACTGGCAAGTGCTTTGCAGTTAAAATCTTTGCAGTTAAACTCAGAAGAGGTTTTCAAGCTTTTGCAATAACATGACTGAAAGTGATGATGAAAAATTACAGAAAAATGTTCTGAAATATTTTCTCAATTACTATATCTGCCTTTGCATTTTTCTGCCAATTACTGCAGTCCTTTCTACAAGCTCTTTCTTCTTCAGAGGGCCTAAAGAATGCAGAGCTGGGCTGAGCAGAAGCAGGAAAGCTGTATTTCTAGGCTGTATTCTTACTTTCTCACAGAAGTTCACTGGTTAACCCAAGGCAAGAAAATCATGCCCCCTTTTCCCTCTCAGTCCCAGTTCCAGAAGAGTGGAAACCTCCCTCTTCTGTAAAGCACTCTCAGACCTACTGACAGTAAGTGCAATGTAAGAAGGAGGTATTATTACAACCTTTCTTCTTCACTACAGGAAATCCCATACAGATCAGACATCTAGAAAATATAACTCAAGTTTGCACTGAAATATCTATATAAAACAATGCCCTACAATAAACAAAACAGTAAGTTTCTTTTCCTTCTCTTGTTGTTAAATTAGTCTGAAACCCAAAACCTAAAAGAAATTATATGCTTGCCTAGCTTTAATCTCAAGTAAATCTCAATGAGAATACTCCTACAAGCCCATTAAAAAGGAAGAGCTCTTGCTGTTGACTAATATTAGTATGAACTAGAACAAAACACATATCCAGCTACAAGTATGTTCTTTTAATATCCTTATGGACTCAACCC